ATATATATATATATATATATATATATATATATATAAAAATTTAAATAATTGTTCAAAAACAACTTTTTTATATCTATGAGGTTCTACTAAACCCACTCAGGGGGATTAGACTGTCTAGCCAAAGGGGGCCTAGTGGGGCCCGAGCTATGTTATAGGGGTGGGCATAGTCACCCCGTGGTCCCCCTCTTGCTGGCGCCACTGGGTTTTAAGCTTTTTAACTAATTTTTGGAGTATTTTAATCTGTTAATAACCACAAAATGTGTCTGTATGCTGATATATTGACGTGTCTCTTTACTTACATCATCATTAGTCGTGTTCTTTTCAGAGTTTTCTTGCAGTTTTAGTTTTTCCATGATCAGATCAACCTTTGCTGTGATGCCGGTTACAGAGTTTTCCATTTGGAGAACCTGTCTGGTCAGTCTAAAAATACAGTTTTAAAACCGCACATGGTCAAGTTTGGTTTGATTTCAGTGCAATCAACACATTTTACGAGTGGTGTAAAGACTTGGCTCACCTCAGAAACTGTTCCCGATCCACAAAGACTCGACTCGAGGGCGTCGTTCTTTGCTCGTTCGGTGCAACGGGAGACTTTTCCAGCAACTTTTCCTCGTAATTTTTTCCAAGATTGTTCAGCTCCGTGTTGAGAGCATCCTGAAGAAAGCAGGAAACCGGCTGTCACCCTTACGCAATATCACAAGACCTTGCTCAGTCTGTCTGAATGACTCTCAGCTACTACCACACCAAATCTTCGCTCTATGTCGGAGGTAGCTTAGCTGTGGCGGCCATCTTGATTTAGGGTTGACTCCAGGGTTGTAGATGTACATGCAGTGAAGACTTTCTGGTGATAAAAAATCTTTTTTACCCTTTTTTCCTCCAGCTCCATCTTCATCCTCTCCTGTTCCTTTGCGTCTAGAATCTGGTTCCCGTCGCGGTCGAACTGCGAGAAAGCGGCAGATATTTCATGATCGGCGTGTCCCATCCTGCAAATTCATCAGCCTGGTGAGCGTTAGGTTCAGATAAAATCATCTTGCATTTCAATTGTCTCTTACTCTTTCAGAGTTTCTCTGAAGTCCTTGAACTCGATTTCTCCGGATCCGGACTGAAGAGCTTTCTGAACGTCTGATATTTTTTCTTTTTTTAGCTTCAGCTTTGTGAACGTCCTCATGTAGCTCTGATTTGGGAGAAAGATATAGTGTTGATGAGGTATGAAAATGTCCTGATGCTCAATGATGCAGGTAGATAAATCTGACAAGGTTGAGGATCCTTCCATGTTGAAACGTTCGTCTTTTCTCCAAAAGACTTCCTCAGACTGAAGAAGTCCTTTGGATAAAAGTGGAAACATTTCAACAAGGAAGGATCCGTCCAGAGGACCTGACTCAACCTTGTCAGACGCTTTTACTCTAAATGATTTTTACCTGCTTGATGATGTCAGTAATCTGCAGCTCGTCTTTTTGGGACGACAGTTCCTCCTTCACCTCTGAATACGTGTCATTTATAATCGCCAGAAACATGTTCTGATTTAAAAAGGAGAGGTCATGTGACTGCTCCCATTTGTTCCTGAGATCCAGCATCGTTTGAAAGACGACTTACCAGCAGAACAAAGAAAACAAAGAACACGTAGGTGACGAAGTAGATGGGCCCAAGAACTCGGTTTGCACGATCGATGGCGTTGTAATCAAAGTCTCCGAGGATGATTCGGAACTGTGTAAATCTTGGGGAACAAAGTATAAGCAGGTGAACTGGTGCTCAGCTCACTGACAGATCCAGGAACTCAGTTTTAAACAACCCTTACATGCACTTTACAAAGGTACTGAAGGAGTCCACCTCCATTCCAAAGATTAAATATCCGAGCTGAGCGTAGGCGAAGAAAACAATGAAGAACATGATGGCAAACCCCAAGATGTCTTTGGCGCATCGTCCCAGCGTGGAGGACAGTTGCGTCATCGTTTTGTTGAAACTGATGTACTTAAAAATCTGCAAAGAAACGACGAGAACATTAGTTTGAGTCACAGCGACATTCATGAAGTGGTTTATGAGATTTGTTGCTAACAGACAAACAGGGTCGACTCCAACAGTTAATGCTAAAATTATAATTAAAGATTTAGTGCAATCTGTTAGCGTTCAGATAATATGTGTTGGGGATCAATCTCAACTGTTACCACACAACAAATTAGCTAAATATTTGTAAATCGATTGAGCTAAAGCCATCTTTGTGTTTGATAAACTTGATTAGCTGTGGCAGCCATCTTGAACTTGGTTGAATCCAAAAGATAATCTGTTGTAGAAGTACATTAAATTATTAATTTCTGAGAATTTCAATGAAATAAATTCAGTGGGTAATTAGATATTTTACTAACAGACAGACAAACAAACACATGTGCATTCAGGCAACTACATGATCGCCTGCTATTCATGATGGTCGGCAATATCTCAACAATATTCAACAATGATGTTCAAAAGTCTTAAGTGTTTATTTATATAAAGATTACAACAGTTTTAAAGTACCAGTACTTGCCTTGGACAGAGTTGTTAAATAAGATTTGACATGTGAGACAATCAAAGTTGTTTCTCCATTTACACTCTGGATAGAGGGTGAAAGGCCTCTATAAAAAAAGAAACTGTCCAGATGACCTGACTGAGAATTATTGGATTACCTGGATGATTGAGCATGAACTTTGTTGCAAAGTCGTTTCTGTTCACGTGAACCTGATTTTTTTATATTAAATTTGATCCTGTTATAACATTTTTTATTAAACTTTAGACTCAATTACAAGTCAGAGATTATTTGTATTCAAGTTTGACTCACGGCTTCTCCTCGATACAAAATCATCTGAATCTACACTGGAACTGAATGTCGTGGAAATGATCATACATGCCCATTTAGACACAGTAAGGACCCAGCAGCCATGCTTTAACCACACTGTAGCAGAAACCATGGAGTGCATAAGCTTTTTTACAACTACTCATACTTTTAATATACATTTAAACTAGAGTATCATCTGCATACAGTGTTACAATTAGATCGTACAAATGGAACATCTGATATATAAAATAAATGGTAGTGTTCCAAGGATAGAGCCTTGTGGGACATCTTTAAAAATTTCACAGCATATGATTTATGTCTAGGCTTCATTTTTGGTAAGGCACGAGACATAAAGAAACTCAGGTCAAGAAATCTTGGATAAAAATTAGTATTTACCTTGATCCAGGCAAAAAATAAGTTCACTGCATTCATGTTGTTATACTGGGTTTGCCAGAAAGCCAGAAACTCAAAATCAGCATAGATTCCAGGTTGTTCTAATAGCTTGCCAAGCAAGTTGTCCACTTTGACAGTTCTGAAAATATTAAAGATTATAGCAACAATTGCAAGCTGGAAAGAAGAAGAAAAATGTTACTTTCTTGACCTCAACAAAAATTCAACAAATGAACAGGTAGGATTCTTGTTTTCTTACCAAAATGACGACAATATCCAGAATGTTCCAAATGCTTTTAAAATAGGCGAACTTGTGTATCTGTAGCTCTAAAATTTCTTCTACAACATAGTAGAAGATGAATACACAGAAGACCAGTTCACAGCCGAGGATAAAATAATCCCAGGTGGTAATGTAACGAATCAGTTTCACTGTTCTGATCTGGTAGGACGGGATCGCTCCACCAGTTGCTGGAAATTCAACCACCAACCTAAAAGATGTGGATCACACTTTGGTCAGTAAAGCTAGTATCTCATTTGGCTGAGATGGAGACTAGTTGGTGAGTCACATTAAAAAAGTGAGTATTTTTGTTGTGATCTCATTAATAATGATAGTCTGCCACCAAGAGACCAGTAAGCTGTGTCATATGGGACAAAACTAAAAAGGGTTTGAGATTAATTCAAGACGCAACAAAATTAAGAAACGTTTAAGATGAGTTCTAGACACGTCAAAACAGAAGAGTCTGACATGAGTTTAAAACAAGTGTGACTATTTTGAGAGAAAATCTGTCCAATGTCTTTTTTGAACACGTTCAAAATTCAAACACGGAGCTTGCCAGCCTTTGCAGCCCAAGTGAGGAAACTGAGAACACCTGTGAATGTTTCGAGACATTTTGAAGACTCCCTCTTGAATGTTGTTTACCAACTAGTCTGCAATAGTTGCAGCTCATTGAGATACGGTCTTAGGTTTATGGTACCAACAGGCTGTGAGTCTTTCAGTCATGTTCCTCACCTGATGACACAGAACAAGTTGACATTTGCGTTGTATGTGGAGAAATCAATGAAGACGACCCGGGTTCCTCGATCCAGCCAGACGTTGTCCATCAGTTCAGTCAGGACGTTGGCGCTCACCTCTTTTGTCCGATTTAGGTCTTGATAGTATCCTGCTCCACTATAAGTGGTCAACAGTCCCCAGTAGGAGGAACCTTTGATATCTTTTTCTGTGTGGTAGGTCCAGCTACAGAAGAAGAGTAAAATTAACAGTGAATAATATATTTTCCTGACACATTTCATCATCTGTTGTGATAGCATTACAGTAAGTGGCTTACGCAGTCCCATTGATGAGACCAAAACTGAGGTCATCCTCTTTCTTTTCATTGTAGACATCAAAACATCCACTGATCTCATTCTTAAAGTCTTGATGGACCTGGCAGGAGTTGTTCTTGATCTTGATCTGCCTTATCCTGGGAACACCCAGCAACATATTCTCATAGTAGATGAACGACTGGTCTCCGCTGTCCAGGGACTCGTTGTTGTACCATCTGGTCCAGTAAAGGCCGTCTAGTAAAGGACCCTGGGCATACTGGTCAGAAATAGAGACATAATGGGTGCTGTTTGATTTGCACCTTTATTTGTGTTTTGACTTGTTTAGCACACAAGAAAGTAAAATTAAGAAAAACTCACGGTCCAGAAGTCGTCCATGGTGCCAATGGACTGAAACGTAACTCCACTCACACCGGCTGTATTCACGAACAGGTTCGTCATGGCATTGGTGAAATAATAGGCGCTCGTGCTCGTCATGCCGTACGTCACTGAGAGAACATAATCACATTGTAAACACCTGGCCATCGGCAACTATCTGGCTTTGCTCAGGCGCAGCTCTAAACGTTGCCCCATTCACAAGTCCAAGATAAGAACGCCTGAGAGGTAGACATGCAAGGTCCCATTGAAGACCTTGGCTTTGTTTGTGTCACTGGATCCAGATTAGGGGGCTGTAATTTGTTTGAAGAGAGAGTGTGCCGGCCTGATGCAAAAAGCCTCATTAAACAATGGAAATCTAGCAGAGACAAAGCGACAAAAGACCAAATGCTCTTATCGCTAAAAGCCAAGAGAACAGGATTGTGTCCCTTTCAGGCCTAATGCTCAGCTGGACAATGGCTTTAAGGCAGGGGTGGGAGGGGTACCTGTGGTAACAACTAAAGCCAAATGGAAAGTTTCATAAACACACCCAAGCATCCTCACATTCTGAACCTGTAACTATTATTCTACCTTTACCTTTGTCAGTGAGGTCATTAGGTAACATTACCAGGAAAATAAGCTGCAAGTACCGGGCAACACAAGATTGACAATTGATCGAGGATAAGTGGTGTAAATTAGGAAAGAGTAAACGCTCAACCCATACGGAGAGGTTTTCAGGGTTTCTGTCGATTGTTCTACAATTTAAAGAACAAGTGCATCCACATAAAATAGCAAAAGACGTTGGAAATGTATTTTCTACACATGTGAGAACCTCTTTATACGTTTGATATTTGATCTGCTGTTTTTGCACTTATAAGTGCCACAGAAGGGAGAATCCAATATCTACGGCTGTGTCGACCACTTACAGAGGCAAACGTCTACCAGGAACAACGTGTAGACCAGTAACTCCCGCAGGGTGGTCTGGATATACTTCTCCCGGTTGTTCAAGGTGTTTTCGGTCCATGCTGTACCCCATAACCCTAAAGACAATATTAGTTATAAATTTATAGAGCGTGTGCTTCATTTGGTGATGCTTGCCATAAAAAACAACAAACTTGGTCAATTCTGTTTCTTCACACACGCACAGTTAATACGTTGTGATGAACTCAGAGGGGGTTCCTACCTTTAATAAAAGAGCAGCAGCTCTTCTTCTTTGAAACTTGGTCTGAAGAGGAGGAGGGGGCCTCCTCTGTGATCCGGCCCGGGGTGTCCAGTTTGTAGACGCTGTCCACAGAGCCCTGAAAGTGGGACTGTGGACTGTAGATGGTGCTGACCACACGGGGGATTGGTGGAGGGGACCCACGGTAGCCGTGGTTGACCCAGCCCCCTCCGTTCACCAAGCTGTCCACCTGAGACTCTACCTGACCCGTCAGGTGGCTCTCAGCCCGGTTGTTCAGACACTTCATGCTCCTACGAGTTTCTTCGTTTCAGCTCAGCAGAGAGTGAAGGGAAGCTGGACCGAGGCGGCGCCTTTTCAACTCCAGCCGGAGACGAGTTTGAAAGGAGGGATGAGCTCAGCTTTGTGGAGGGAGGAGCTGCTGGTCCTTCAGTTGCTATAGACCTGATCCTGAGACCAGTTTAAAAACACATGTATACTCGTACTATACTGGGTCATAATGGGTACTTACTGAATACACAATGGTTACTTACTGGGTACTTACACGGTATGTACCAGAACTTAAAGGGTACTTACCAGGTACATGCATAGTACTTAAAACACTTACTGGCTACATATTGGATACTTTAATGGTACATACAGGGTACTTATGTATGTACAGAAAATGTACAGGACCCTTGCTGAATACATATCGTGTACTTTCAGGGTATACTGCCTGGGTATGTACCAACACTTAAAGGGTACTAACTAGATACATACAGGGTACATACTGAGTACATACTTGGTAAGTATGGAATACTTACTAATTGGGCTTTTAGAAGGTATGTACAGTGACTTATGGTAGAAACTGGTACTTTCTTGGTACATATGGTACTTTCAGGGTATATCTTGAGTACTTAAAGGGTACGTACAAGATACTTATTGAGTATGTATTGAATATCTACATGTACTGGGTATGTACTCTGCTGTTTTATATGTTGCTACCAACACAAATAAAGTTATTTATATTTTTAAGAAGGCAACTAATAAAATTTTTACAGACTGGCCACATGAATGATATTTTATTGTTAAGTATTTTTAATAATTAGGTTGTAAAATGTTTTGTTTGTATTCTCCAGTGTCCTGTAATGAAGTAATTAAGCTGTCAAGCAGATATTTTAATGAGTTTGAGCCTCTCGGTCGCCTCCACGCTGAGCTCGGCGCTGTCACGTTCGATTAACGGCCGATCCAACAACCAGCTCCCCGAGAGGAAATCAATTATCGTACTTTCTGCCACCAGCTGTTCGCGTCAGGCCGAATTAATGAAGAGCGTAGTCGTCGTGCCACCAAAGGTCTCGACCTCATTTGAATTACACACTTTTCAGATTTACATCCAAGTTGTTTTATTTTTCTGCAACAACGTGTTTCTTCTTCGCTCCTGTGCCCAACGTCTTTTAGAGTCAGTCATAAATAAATAATCGAGCAGCACTTTATCTGATTTGTTGCGTATAATTAATTAGCATGTTTAACTTTTCAGGCCTCCTGCGATCGGTTCGGTGCAACAAAAACAAACAGAATACACCAAATCTTCACGTACGGCTCGTTTTAGAAGCTGGTGTCCGGCTATAGATGTCCTGTGTGAGGCAGGCCGAGTGGGTTTGATCGGTTCTGCTTGGGTGGTTCTGAACAGAACCATTAGCTATTATCACACAATGGAGGTTAATTTCGGCTGCGATCTGCCACACAGCTTCCTTTAGCAGCCGCGGCTTGTGCCACCGTCCAAACCCGCTCCGATCTGCTTCAGCCGGGACGTTTTACACATTAATGTTTTATTCTGGGTTTTTATGGAACGTGTTTGTTGAAAGAAAGCGTTTAAATGTTTTTCTGTCTTGCAGCTGACGTCAGAGCATCTTATCTCCAAGTGCAGGAACGCTGAACAAAAGCAGGATTTATTTCTCTGTAAATGTTTAAAATGTTTGTTCTCTGCAAAATCAGAGTACGATCGACACAAAACTCTGATTTTAACAGCTCAAATGTCAGACGTGAGTAATTAAATCTTTATAAATAGTTTTTGTTGATTGGGCTAAAACCAGGAAATACTGCGATTAGTTCGTCGTTGTTCTATAATGTGGAGCAGATAGAAAAGAAGCAAAAGTTTTCAGAAAAATATATTAATTGTTTTAATACACAAAATAGAGGATTGTGGAAAATTAACTTTTTTTTATTTTTAGTTCTAGAACAAAGATTACGTTTCAAATTTTGCTGTTTTTTAATGAGAATCAAATTTTTAGAGGCTAAACTAAAATAAATCTGCATCTTCTGTGAAAAAACAGCATATTGAGATTAAAACTATTTAAGTTTAAACGAGCAGAACTGAAGTCGAATCAGCCGAAAAAGATGCTAAAATTAACAAAAGTTTAGTTAAAAGGAGCCAAATGGTAGCGAACGGCTACAAATAGCAAAAGAGGTTAGAGCTAAAATTAGCAAAAGAGGAACAAGCTAAATTTAATTAAACTGATGCTAAGGGTGAAATTAGCTAACAGAGCTAAAAAAGGCTCAACTTTAAATATAGCGATGAGGTAGCTAAAAGTAAAAAATTAAACGTGCTAAAATTAGAAAAACAGTAGCTAAAGCAATAAAACTGTATTAATAGTAACTAAGTAAAAGCTAAAACTAAAATAAAACAGCAAAAAATTTAAATTAGCTAAACTTTCTAAAAGCTAAAATGAGCTAAATGACAGCTAAAGTTAAAGGAATCAAAATTATAGCTAAAAGCTAAAAATAGTTAACTGTTAATTAAAAGCTAAAACGAGGACAGGAATAGCTGAAATGATATTTTAAAAAATAAAAGCTAAAAGTAGCATGAAAGGACAAACTTGGAGTCACTGAAGAACTTGATAGTAATATTTTAATAATCGAAGCATCTCTTGTGTTTCTGTGGGAAAATTTATTTTGAATAAAGTTAAATATTTGTAGATAACAAATTACAACAATCAAAGGTTATGGCACCTTGCTCCGGACCGAGCCGAACATTTTTCTGTTTGAGTGCTCAAAGAGCAGAAAACATATAAAAGTAGTTTGTAAATAAAAATAAAACATGAAAGAAACGAGAATGTTTCAACTCTTCAGACTAGAAAAATACTTTTTCTAGTAAAAATGAAGTTCGTCTTCTTGTCATACCGATGATTAAACAAATACAAAGTATTTACTGTCTCCCACAACGGGGGAACTTGTTCACGTCGCTGCGTCCAACAACATGACGGATTGTCCCAACGGCGGTCTACGAATGGACCGGGTCCAGGGGGTACGAGAACGCCGACTGGACGAACTCGGGTCCCGTTGGGGGGTCGTACGTCAGCAGGCAGGAGTCGGGCTGCACGTCAAACTGCAGGTCCAGCCACTGCCGGTGAGGAGCGGCGTGCCTCCGGGGGTCCGTCAGGATCCGGTTCAGGGCCAGGATGTAGCTGAGGGCCATCTGCAGGGTCTCGTACTTGGACAGCTTCTTGTCCCGTCCCCACTGGGGGACCACTTTACGTAGGCGGTCGAAGGCCGTGTTCAGACCCTGCATCCTCTTCCTCTCCCTGGCGTTGGCGGCCATCCTTCGCTTCGTGACAACTTCGTACTTCTCCGGAGTCTTGGAGTCCGGTTCTGAGGACTCGAATCCGGAGTCGGAGCAGCTGTTCGGACAGGACTTCATGGTAGGAACTGGGCCGGGGAAAAAAGAAGAGCCAGATGAGTTCCCAGCGTCAGTCCAAGGTTCCTGAGAGGTTCCTCGGTCTTAAAGTCCTGATGTTCTCCAAGCGGAGTGCTTCTTGTTGCTGAGCATCTAATGACAGTGTTTCCAGAGACCGGACCTGAAGAGTCCAAGGTGCTTGTGGTCCCGGACCCTGGAGGACAGCAGCTTTTATAAGATGGAGGAGATGAACAGGTGGCAGCAGGTGGGGACCCCCCCCCCCCCCCCCTCAGAGAAACACACCCACACATAAACAAAGCCTTAATGAATTTCCAATTATCTGGGGCTGGGCTCTCCGGCTTCTCTTGGAACCACGTGGCCCAAACACCAAAGGTCCACCATCTGGTAGCTCGGCTCGCCACAGCTGATGGGCCAAACATACGTGTCCAAGCTTCAAAGCAGCAAAGAGTAAACTAACATTAAGACAAAGAAATGTCACGTGAAAGCTTCAGATCAACTTTATCGCTTCCGCTTCGTCGACTGCGTCAACAGAGTGAACGTTTACGAAGCACTCGCTCTGTGGTCCAGTTCTAGTCTGAACGTTGTCAGCTCGATTCTCGTCCCGCAGTTTTCAGCTATTTCAACAAATCATGGATCAAAACGTTCGGCTCTTTCAGGACAATCCTGCTATGACTTTTGGTATTGATGGTATTGATTTAGCTTTTTGAAATATTTAGCTTTTTCTGACATTTTTTTCTCATAGAAAATGAACTGAGCTCATTTTACCTCCTTCAAATCTTTAAATCTGTTTACAACCTTTCACTTTTTATTCTGCTTCAGCTTCTTTCTGCAAATTTCAACTTTTTTCAGCTACTTTCAGCAAATTTCAGCTGTTTTGTGCTCCTTTCAAATTCTTTCTGCTAACTACAAAATTTTTGTGCTTCTTCTAACTTCTTTCTGCTAATTTCAGCTTGTTATGCTCATTTTAGCTTATTTCTGCATTTCAGATTTTTCTGCTATTTCAGCTACTATTTAGCTGTTTCTATGCTAATTTTAGCTTTTTAAGCTAATTCCACATTTAATGCTCTTATCTAAGAAAATGTCAACCTAATTCAGCAAAAATGTGTTTTCTCAACTTCATTGTAGTAATTTAAGCTTCTTTCTGCTATTTTAGCTACTTTTCAGATGTCCTTTTTTCCTAATTTTAAATTTTTTTCAGATCATTTATTTATTTTTTGTGCTCATTTCCGATTCTTTCAGCCTAATTGGGCAAACATGTTTTTCTACTTTCTTCAGCTAATTTAAGCTTGTTCTACCGTTTCAGCTACTTTTTTTTTAGTTAATTTCTGCTGTTTTGGGGTAAATTAAATTTTTTTTGTTGTAATTTCTGCTACTTTAAGCCTAATTACCTTTTCAGCTTGTTATGCTCCTTTCAGCTTTTTCTGCTAATTTAAGCATTTTCTGCTAGTTCAGCTAATGTTTAGCTGTTTTTGCAGCCATTTTGCAGCCAATTCCAAAATTTTGGAGTTCCTTTCGTCTCTTTCTGCTTCTTTCTGGTAGTTTTGCATTTTCAGCTTTTTTTTTTTTACTAGTTTCAGCCTTTTTCTTTTCAATTTCTGCTTATTTTAACCTAATTTATCAAATACATGTTCTGTTTGCTTCTGCTAAAGTAGGCTTAGTCTTCCATTTCAGCTACATTTCAGCTGTTTGTCAGCAAGTTCTTCTGCAATAAGCAGTCACACTGCATAAATGCAGTTTCTCTAGTTTTTTTATCGTTTATCTCGTCGTTCACGTAAAGTTTTACACCAGAACATGCGGCTCCGTCGTGATCAGGCCGCTGGAACATTTGGTGACGTGTCGCACGACGTCGACTAAACTGACCACAAATAGTGAACGACAGAAGTTCATGGTCAACGGGAGGCGGGAGAAAACCCAGTGCTGTTTGGAGCTCTGCAGCTCAGCCAGGCGTCACAGCAGAACCTTCAGTCCGGGTTCACCCGGGTCACAGAAAGCTGGACTTTACGTGACTGAACTGCTGTTGTGATATCGGTCACCGTTTTTACACAATCTCAAGTTAAAGTTGACAATTTTCACAGATTTTTCCATTGAAAGTTCAATGTTCAGTTTGTGTCACTGGAACTTTGAAATGAAACAAACTCTTCTAACTCCCACAACTTCGTTTGGCACAGATTATACATCGTAGATAATCCGGCCTCCATCGACCCCGAGTGTCTCTCGCTGCTGCCGGGCTCAAGGATTTCTCTCAAACCTCTCGGAAAGCAACGCGCGCAGACCAGTTTCCACTGAATCCGTTTGATTTCAGGTGAAAATATTCGCGTCACAAAGCTTCACTGCAGAAACATCAGCTGAACGTTTGTTTCCATCAGAGCCTGCTGCAGGGCTATTCAACTGGGGGCCCGGGGGCCAGATCAGGCCCACAGGTGAGCGCAGCTCGGTCCACCAATGGGTTCATTTTCAAATAAACCTGGATTTTAAACCGTAAAACAAACTTACTCACTGACAACAACTGCTGGATGTCCGGCCCCTGAGCTCTTGGCTTTCAGTAACTGTGGCCCCTGAGCAGATTAATCGAAAATCCCCGACCTGCTGCAAGAATTTCAAAGAGTTTATTTATCGTTTGTCCACAGCAACTGTTTGCTTGAGGCTTACTTTCTGTCTGCCTCTCACTGTCTCACATGCAGGTGTGTGGTTACCATGGCGACCACAAACGAGCCACTGGCAGCATTTCTCTGGGTCTGGGTTCTCCTTTCACTACTTCTACAGTTTATTCATCAAAATTTCAGCGATTGTTTCTTAATTCAGAAAATTACGACGTTTTGTTTTGTTGAATAAATTTTTCTTGGAAAGTTTTTATAAATTCGCAGCTCAGGCGTGTTTGTGTTTTGCTTTCGTCCGAGTCAGAGATAAAACTCACCAGTCGTATCGAGTTAGGAAACTATGGGGTTAAATCTGTCGCGTAAATCATTGTCAGCGAGCTCCTCTTTCATAATCTGAGATTAGCCTCGGGCAACAGAAGTGTAAGTGAGGCCTGTAACCCGAGGGATTTTAACAACACATTTAGGGATTATGGCTTTCAAACAATATGGGCCAAGATGGTGGCAGGATTACTGACTTTTTTATATATTTATTGAGCAGATATTGGATTAGATAATCTGTAGTTGGGATTAGAAACCAATGTCTAACTATGAAAATAACTCTGTATGGGGGACGAAACATTTCTCAAAAAAACAGGTCCAGATGACACAATTTAACCCGTTCCATTGTAAAAACGTTTCTGTCAAACAGAACGGATTAAACTCAGTAAAACAACATGGACGCTCAGTTTCTCTTTGTCAGGAGGAAGCTGAAGGTCCGGTCCAGACTCCAGCTTGGCTGTAAAAGGCAGGTTATGAATGATTCATCAGAGGCCCGGCGCTGGTTCTGGGTCACAGGCTGATGCTGTCTGGTCACTTTGGGATTGACTGGTTTGCTGTGCAGTTAGGCAGATAATCCCATCTACAGATTGATGTAGTTTGCCAGCTGCTGCTTGTCTTGTCAGGCTCCGATGTGACTCTTGTATTTTTTTTTAAACAATACTTGGACGTGATTGGCTCATCTGAAGACCGACGGCCGGGCCCTCTGTCAAAAACCATATGTCACAGCTGAAGAGTGACCGGTCTGCCCTGACACAAACACTTTCCTGTCTGCAGAACTGGGATTAGGATTTACAGCAGGTTCAAAACAAGAGAAAGTGTGAGAGGATTAACAGAATCTAGTTTGATCTATTGAACTCTTTAAATGAGCTTGTTTGCTCAGTTTGCATTTTAGATTTAAATTCATTTTCCAGACTCAAATAATCTGCATATTTTAGTCGTTTCTCTTCAAATCTCTAAACCAGGGTGCCAGACTTTTCATCATGGAGCTCCTTTTAAAATGACCAAGTCAAAGTGATCTACCTGCTGCAAGGCCCCGTTTACACAGAACAACCTCCGGAAACTTTAGTGTTTTTTCAATGTGTGTTGGGGGTCATAAACAAAAGAAGAGAAGGTTTACGTGAAAACACAGTAGTTTCCATGTCAGTCGGGTTGCCAGATAAGAAATTATGAATTATAGTACTGTGGCTTTAAAATGCAGTATTTTCACCTAAACTATGGAACACCAAAATGCTCAAAACTAAATAAATAAAACATGAAATAAGAATTTTTTTTTTTTTTTATTTCATAATGGTGTTTTTCATAACGGCTTATTTATTTCATAATGACTCTTTTCAGCAGAATGACTGAATTCATTCTGCTGAAAAGAGTCATTATGAAATAAATAAGCTATCATGAAAAACACAATTATGAAATAGAATAAAAATTAAAAATTTTCATTAAAATTAGCTTAGATATTTATTTCATAACGCTTTGTTTAATTTTGAGCATTTTGGTGTTCCATATCTTTGGAGCCTGGATTTTATTAGTTTTGCAAGCTGAAAAAGGGCGAGCAGCACAAAAACACTCTGCTCTCTGCCGTTTATTATAACTGTTGTTATTTATTATAACTGATATATTTATTATAACTGTTATTTATTATAACTGTTATATTTATTATAACTGTTATATTTATTATGTTGTTATATTTATTATAACTGTTATATTTATTATGTTGTTATATTTATTATAACTGTTATATTTATTATGTTGTTATATTTATTATAACTGTTATTTATTATAACTGTTATATTTATTATAACTGTTGTTATAACTGTTATATTTATTATAACTGTTGTTATATTTATTATAACGGTTGTTATATTTATTATAACTGTTATTTATTATAGCTATTATATTTATTACAACTGTTGTTATATTTATTATAACTGTTATTTATTATAACTTATATTTATTATAATTTATTTATTATAACTGTTTATTATAACTGTT